GTACAAAAAGGTACCTTACTTAGGCGGCAGTGTACAGAAAATCTTACGTCTAAGCATTTAGTTCTATAGACAGTAATACAATGGTGGAAATAGCAAATTAAGTGCAGGTTATAACGGGAGCGTGTCCGGATGCGCCTGACCTAGTGGTCCGGTTGCGGACCGGTCTTGTCGCTAGATGAAGGATGGCCTAAGGCCTCCTGAGAACTTATACGGATTCGGAATTAGAGTACATGAAGTTGTTGTCTTTATGGTTTTTAGATTTTTACAATGTTTAAGCGTAGTCACACGTTTGTCACGGTTGACACGTAGTCTCGACATCCGTCCGAAACGATTACTGTCAAATAAGCAATACTTGACCAAATGAAAAGACGCGTGACGCGAATGAAGCTTCATACTGGATACTTGTCTTTTAATTTTGTCGAATATGACTTATTTGACCATTGACTTACAAATAAATGGACGACGGGTCTAATACAAAAACCGCGAAAAAAATGTCCCAAGTCAACCTATTTAAACGTAGTGACATGTAAAGGAATATGAAACAGCTAAAACGTTGAATTTAAATTGTAATGTCATCGCAGTACTGTCTAATTTTGCTTGCTTCGCTGTCAGTCGAACAAACGAAGACTAAAGCGTGAATGACGCTCTGTATACGATTTTAACGCCCTATAAGTTCGGACACTTTTTAGCGCGGACCCGACGTCCATATAATTGTAAGTCAATGTATTTGACAGTAATTGTTTCGGACGGACGTCAGACGGAGATCGAAAGTAGCCCCCCAGTTCCGAATCCGAGAAAAAACGATCCCAAATGTCACCTCACATGTTGTACACCAAGAGATAAAATGAACCCTGTCACATTTCGGACCGTCATTGACCGTCGAATTCGGAACATCAGTTCGTATCAACAAATCGGATTCGTACGCAAAGCACTGCGTCCGAAGGTTTCATTCGCGCTGGTGAAATTACAGGCACATGGGAATTTTCAATTTATGTCTCCATCTATCTAATATTTGCTATTTAAAAATCTAAATGGCACTGCAACAGTAATGGAGCGTGTCGCTTACCACCAGGCGTACGACTTGTTCGACGCGTAACTTGATAACATAAAAAATAATATTCAACAAAATAAATACTGCAGAGATTATTTGGTGATTGAGTTTGAATTGGTCATGTAAAGATGAATATTAGAATAATGGTGAAGCTTAAAGTTATAAACCCAATGTCGATGGAAATGAAGCGAAAGATCGACCTCGTAATCATAAAGATGACGGAAAGACTAGGGGCGGAAAGGGGAACGCTTCGATTGTTTGTTCATGTGGAATAATGACACAAATTTACAGAGCGAATGTGGATGGAAACGTGAGTGATGTCAGCTTTGGGGCACGTATCTCAACTAAATATACACTGTTATAAACTGCCTCCATGGCCGAACGGTAAGAGACCCCCCATACTAGTGTCTTTCGAGGGTCAGCGTCTGCAAAGACGCAAGGCATACAGCATTACCATGCTGAACTGCCACGCACAGGTTTCGGGTTCGATTTCCGGGCCGGGAGAAATGTTTGTATAGCCTAGATTATACTCACGAAAGTACTATATGCGCTATAGGTTGGTTACCTAACCAATTTTCTATGGATGAACCGGATCCCTAATAAAGTCATACGCCAGAGAACTACAGTGACCGACATAGCTCGCGAATTCAATGAGCTTAAGTGGCAGTGGCTCAGATACGGCTGTAGGAGGGGTGATCGCCGATGGAGTGGAGTCAAGGCAAACATAGTCTAGGACGCCCTGTGCCAAGATGGAAGGATGACCTGAAAAAGATGTCCGTCAGCGGCTGAATGCTGGCGGCACAGAATCGGGGGAGTTGGCGTGCTGAGGGAAGGCTTATGTCCTACAGTGGACACGGTATGGTATGTCAGGAGCGTGGTGAATAGAGGTCCGTAGGGAGGCAGGCGTAATAGTTATATGTAACATAGATTTTAAGGCTTTCATGGTTTTTACGACGATATGATTTCTTTTTATTTCCCGATATTTTGGAACGGTTACCCTCTTTCGGCACACAGATATGTCTGTTCTATCTAGCTATCATCTGCCGCTGGCCAGTCGACCCGTGACCATGGAGCGTGTAACCGTTTCGAAATATCGGGAAAATAGAAAGAAATCAAATCGTGGTAAGAAACCTGTAATTAGAGATAAACATTTAGTTTATATGTAATTAGAATAAAATGTCGTTCATTGCAATCATGTTGTAAATACAGTGTTATAGGTTATGGCAAATTGCACTAAAATCTAGTTTGTATTATTATAAATTGTAATAACATTTTCCGTTACATAAATGTTGTATGTTTGTTATGTTCGTGTTGGATTAAAGATGTCTTCTATTTTTATGAATTTATTTTAGTACATAGGATCGTGGAGTGCACGAAAGGGTCTCCCCGCACGACCAATAGTTCCTTTCCTGGAGACTTTGCGCTCCTTGGTCTACAATCGGCGGGTAATTGGCAAATTCTTTCCCCACGACGGCAAGCATTTTAGTGTATGCCACCGATGCAATAAGAAGAAGAATTTCATAGGGTGATAAGTAAATAAGAGAAACTATGGTCAATGTTAAATCTTCGTAATATACTCAAAAGTTGCAAAGTAAATCAAAATTAAAACTAGTTCTAATTCATAGGCAAACAAATTACATTTCAAATCGTCAAATTAATTAAGTTCTTATTCGTAAAGCAGATTCTTCATAAGAAACTTCGGGGGTTGCTATTTGTTGACATTTATTATTTACAATATTTATTTACAAATTTCATAGTCTATCCAGCCTAAATACCGTACTGCTGTGCGTAGGTCTCCTCTCAATTTGGGAGGTATTGTCACACGCAAAATAGGCGCCTGGACGTCGTGTTACAAACACCAACCCGTCACACCATACCCCACCATGGGAGAGATTGGGCTGTTGAGAATTTCACACACATAATTGTTTTGCAGACATGTGCAGGTTCCCTAGCGATATTTCCCTTTATCGGAAAGCTGGTAAACTGTGGTAAACTTCATATTAAATTTCGATAAATTCAGATCTGCAAGCCCGGATTCGAACCCATGACCCTCGGCTTGAATGGGGTAGGTCAAACTATTAAGCGCAAGCCCCATCGCGAATGGAGTTAGCTAACTTAGCTTACCTCACTTGCATGCAAAACTATCATCATGTAGTGCCTCTCCACTACTGGAGGTTGGCCGTCAGCTTGGGGAACTCTTCCCTGTCCTGAGCCAAGCGAAACAGATGTTCTACGCTGGCAATATTGGTCCATTCTCTGATGTTGCGCAACCACGACTTCTTCCTACGTCGTTTACCCTCGATCTTACCCATTATTATCATTTGGAGTAGTCGGTACTTTTCATGTCGTAGAACGTGTCCATGATACGCAACTTTCCTTTTGTTGACGGTCTGCAACAGTTCTCGTTCCCGCTGAAGAACTTGTCACATTGGGAACTTTCTGGGTCCAGCTAATGCGAAGCATTCTACGGTAGCACCACATCTCGAAGGCTTCAAGACGCCTCTGGGTGTCGGCTTTTAGAGTCCAGAGTCGCTACCGTACAACACCACAGGCCAGACGTATCAGTGGAGCAACCTCACTCGGAGCTTTGTTGATAGTTTGCGGCTGCACAAAAACTTCTCCATTCTCTTCAATGTAGCTCGCAATTTCTATTCGGGTTCGAATCTCCTGTTCGCACTTCCATTCTTCGTTCACCCAAGCTCCAAGGTGTTTGTACATCCATACACTCACACTGCACTCATTGATTCTGTCCTATATTTCTAGCACGTCTCGCTCTGTTGAGGCTATTAGTACAGTGTCGTCTGCGTACTTTAAAATATTGATTACTTCTCCATTTACTTTAACCCCGACTTCCAGTCCAGTGACAAAATACATCCCTTCCTGACTCCACGACATATCTCTATTTCGTCGGTTTCTGATTGATCCACTCTCACAGTTGCTCTCTGGTTCCAGTACAAATTTTTAATGATCCTTATGTCTTTACCGTCTAAATTCACGTCCATCAAGCGTTACAATAAGATATCGTGACTTACGCTAAGATAATACGTAGTAAATAGTGACTATGGATACGTGCGCGGATGAAAGGCGGCAGAAGGGCGACATTTTTACATAGCTAGCGGGTTAGTTAAGTTAGCTCGGTTAGCTTAGTTCGCGGTGTGAACTGAAGTATGAAAAGATGCCCCGGTTACATGAGCTAAGCTAAGTTACCAGAGGGCTGCGCATAAGGCTGCTTACAAAAATGACATAGGTGGACCTGAAAGAGTTCGAGAATGGATACTCCCAGGTTCAGTTAGCAGTGACCACGGGACCTGTAAAGGCCTGAAATGTTGGTTTGTTTGAAAAAACAAATTTACGCGACTTGGATTCGGATTTTTTTTTCCAATGTGTAACTTAAATTGTGGATACTTAAGAACTCTATACTCCCGCCAATTTTCCGTTATATAATCAACACACGCTTGGATGAGTTGCGGACACCAGTCTGTCACACATTAGTATACCATACCCATTATAAACCTTTTGTATTAAGTTATTGCTTCATAATGCCCCTTTTTTGTTGCGATTTTTGAAGACGACTGTCAAGAAGAGTCAGTTTTTTTTGTTGCCAGTTTTTATGATCTATCACTATTTGTCATTAAAAGATTACATGACGTGGTCACGCTAAATTAATACAGGTACAAGTGTTCACTGAAATACGTTATTATCTAACAATACGTCTATATTTACTAAACTATGTCACCATTATCATTATCTACTTTCCTGTTTGCTGTAACTTCACTATTAACAACCTAAATTTGAAGAAATTTGTAAATGACAAATTATCGTCGCCATTTGCAATTTCGCAATATTTTTTTTTCGACACTTTTTCATTCTAATTTTAAAAACACTATTTTAGTAGTATGTTAAGGGAGTCGTTAAAAAAGCCACCAATGTTTGATTAGAACTTACTTACACGAAACGACAGTTAATAAACTGTATGGGTTTAAGTGATTTCACTAATCAGGACAAGTTGCTGAAGCCGGTAGCGCGGTGTGCGCAGGCTTCCACTCGCGTTACTATCTCTATTTAAAACTTAACTTCCTATTTATATCAGCACATGGACGTACAGAGTGTTTATAAAACCCCGGTGATTCTGTGTGCAGATTCGGGTATAATATTGAAGACCGCCCCGCTTCGACTATAACCAGTTTTCTGAATTTGGAAATTTCAATCTGTTTACTATTTTCGGTTACAAACTAACCTTCCGAAAAAATTAATATTAATAAATAAATAACGCACGCACTCATAGCCCCGCATTAGGGAAACCCTGTGTAGCGGGTACCATGGACTCACATAGTACACCCAAACCCTTGAATAAATGGAAGTTTAAAAAAATTATACTCTGTCACTATCTTGCCCGGTCTTAAGCGACGCGGTGACCGACGGGTACGCGTTTGTGAAAAATATGAAAAAAAAATTTGTAGTAATAATTATTTGGCACAATCTAGGGACGCTTTTTGTCATATTCTCTGTACATAGACTCCTTTGTTCACTACTTCTACCATTCAAAAGTTGAATGGGAAAAAGTTCCCATTCAACTTTTCAATCTTTCACATTTTTTCCTTTACATTCATTCATTTGCAAAAAAAAGTTTTTGTCGAATGAAAAAGTATATATTTTTGTTACATGATTTTGAAAACTTAATTACCCGAATTAACTCATCCTGTACGTTTATTGACATAGCGTAATCTGTGAATTGTAACGGTAGTTGACCACATCCGGGTTCGCGATCTCATATTCGGGACACCCGCTATAAGTACTACCTGTCTCAGTGGGAGTTCCCAAAAAATTATGAGAAAAAATGCAGAACCTATGTATCGTCCAACTTCTAACTGGCTGTTGTAATCGGAATGAAGCTAATATTTCAGTGAAGCGTGTTTACTGTTTAGTGCTTCGCGACGCGATGTTTTTCTTCATGGTAACGAGAGGCTGTTGTTATGAAGTTATTGTAGTTATTGCTATAGTTCCAGTAAAGCTTCTTGTAAAAGAGTTCGTCCAGGGAAGTACTGTCACCTTACCTATTTCTGCCGCCAAGCGGTAATGTGAGGGTGCTGGTGAAATTACAGGTTCCCATGTACCTGTCCACAACAATTGTAGTGCCACTCAGAGCTTAAATCGCAAAGATTTAATCACAAGGAGCTCTACTGCTACTACAAAAAGAACCTTTAGACCACAGCAGAACTTTACTTATTGCATGTTTCCACATTTTTATGGTATAATTAGCTGAAAATAACGGTTCAGAGTTAAAATTAACATCGCCTATTCTCGTATGAGAGCAATGTGGGGCAAATTGGCACTCAGCTTCTCGTTTGGATTGGTCCTAGGTAAAGCAAGGGTCAAAGCGCAACATAACAATTTTACAGGAGAGGCTTCCAAACTTTCAATCTGGTATATTTCCAAGATTTCCCTGTTTTAACGCTACCTTAAAGATTATAATGAAATGAAGCATTTCCCACAAAAAAGTGACAATGATCAAATTGTTGGTTTGGCCCTTATGTTAAGACCCATAGATATAGATATAGGTGTAAAGCCCATTACCTTCCAAAGTGGAACGAAGAGCTGTGTTTCAGAAACCAATAGGATTTTGTTATTTGGACTAAGACTGCGTGGAGATGTGAAAACAAAGAAGCACTTTTGGTTTTGTACAGTAATGGATGTGCGAAAGGCTTTAGTGAAACTCGTAGGCTGGGCGAAACAGTGCTGTATTTAAATATGACATTTTTATTAAAAAAAAAAAACGTTCGGAAAAGTTTGTGGAATTACCACTTATTTGCCAAGTTTTATTGAAATCTGTTAACGGAAAGTGACTCATCCCTTAATTTACCGCCCTTAGAGGTGGAATATTTTCTACAAATTTAAATAGAATTACTGTTGAGGTACCACCTTTCCAACAAAAAATAATCAATAAAAAAAGAAATATTTATGTCATTTATTTAAGTTTACTCGTATATTCGCGACACACACGTCCGGTACTCACTCGGTTTTAGGGCCCATTGAAAATCAGCGTCACAGCCTTTTCTCGGTGGCGATAATAGCTGAGTGGGATCCTGTTACATACGCCACAGCCGCGCACATGACACTTCATCTAATTGTGTTAAATATTTCATGTTTGCTTTGTTGTTGTGTATGATTTTATTTTTATTCCTTTTTTTCCAGTTATTTTTATTTGAATTTTTTGTTTTAATGTAGCTTCTTTTTTTATATTCATTTTATTACTATGTATATTTTTGTTGTGGCGTAGTAATAAAAGATTTCTATTCTATTCTATTCTATTCAAAATTCACAAATGTCGGCGTAATCGCCTAACATACACACAAAAATACTGTCGGATTGAGAACCTAATTATTTTGAAATCGGTTAAAAATGGATTTAACACTGACACACACACAGAGTCATAACTGGTTGCACAAACGTGCTGTACGCGTTGTCCGCTTAACTAATTTTACTTTCTGCCTTTACCTTGAACTTCATTAATTTATTTATGTAACATTTCACAATGAATAAATCTGGCATATAATTATTGAAGTATAATTATTGTTTAAACTAAAAATGAATGCTTCCTTATGTATATAGGGACACGGAAAAAGAATCGACACTTTTTGAAATCGAGTACTTTTCCTTTCGATACAGATAGTTATGCACTCGGTACTTTTCATTTGATACTTTTCTGGTATTAGTACTTTTTATTATTATTATTTATGAGTACGATATTTTATCCGATACTACTCATGAGTACAATATCGATACTTTTGTTTCGATGCTGTGTCCGTACTTATATGTGACAAAAGGTAGAGAATAGGTAGACGTTATACTATTGTATATAGTATAGTATATATAGTATAATATAGTATAGTATTAACTGAATTTCAGATCATAATATTTTACTAAGGTGATATTAATTTATTTTTGTGAAATTACTCCACTATAGTCCATTTGTTTAGGTACTTAATTAAATGTAAACAATTTTAATGCATCTTTTTATTGAAACATATACTTTACAAATCAATAGGTGTAAAAATAGGCATGCAATTTCACATGAAGCTAAATATTTGTATTTCGCATTTGAAGATAAGTAAAAATCATTTTGTAAATGTATATTTCATTCAATAGACATATCAAGATGGTTTACAATTAGTTAAGTATCTCAACAAATGGACTATAGTATATTATAATTATTAAAACGAAGATCGAACATTCGAATCTGGGAACGGGTTCGAATCCTGCAAGATCGAAGAAAAATTCCTTCGGCCTGGCAGGATTCGAACCCGCGTCTGTATACCAAACTAGGGTTACCCCTCTTCCAGCTCAACTACAAATCGAGTTAGCAGACCTTGTGAAATTTTATATGTGTTTGTTACAGATCTTTTGTATTGTGCTGTTTTTGCTTTTTATAGCCGCAAGCGATATGTAATGGTTTGATCTACCGCCTCTCAAGTAGACGCTGTGGGTTCGAATCCAATACTCAATACTCAATATATTTATTGCATTCATATGGTAAACATGTCTTAAATTTAAAATAATTCTACACATATGAGCCCTTTATTAGGGATAACAATAACAGCAGAGGTAGGCCGAGGTTTCAATTATTAATTAAAATTGTTATTTATCAAATAATAATATTAAAAAAAATGTCATATAATAATAAAGAAATACGTCATATTATGAGTAGAATTATGTCACTTGAAAGTTTGAATTTAATTAGATTATAATTATAGATATATAATTATATAATATAAAGTCATGCCACTGTAGTGCTACTACAGTAGCATAACCCCACAGTATACAATTAACATTTATTTATTATTCAAATTTATTATAATATTATTATTTTTATTTGTCATCAAAGTATTCATTTAAATTGTAATAGCATTTATTAATAAGATGTAATTTTAATTTATTTAGAAACAGTGAATATTTTCCCTCGCTTTTAATAATGGGCGGGAGCTCATTGAATATCCTCACCGACGTCGAGTGGGGACTTGAGCTGTGTATGTGTAGCCGAGATCGTGGCAGAAGCAATCTATTGCGTGGTCTAAACGTGTGATCCATTCTCGCAACTCTGAATTTCTCGGCATTTATGAGCAAAGTTTACTTTGAAATTGCCTTCAGCTTTTCGGTGAAGGAAAACATTGTGATGAAACTTGCACGTCGAAGAAAGTTTACAACCCTCGGAAAAACGTGTAAAGTCCCCAACCCGTATTGGGCCACGTGGACACCCATGCTTAGTAGTAAGATGTATCATTTCTAAGATGATACGTTATTTCACACTGGGATAGTTGCTTCAACTGTACCAAGCACAAGTCAAGTACTGCTGCCACCTATAGGATGGTTCTGCTAAATACCAACTGGCACATTCATGTGAAAAGCGTGTCAAGAGGTTTATAGGTGACTCTGATTCAGTACAGCCGTAAAGCGCCTGCTTATCGGATACTGTACAGGATATATCACGGAGTGTGTGCGAAGGAATTCCATGATTTAATCCCGCTTTCCCCCTATCTTGTGGATATGTCCAGGGTTTTATATGCGAACGGCTAAGGATTGGAATTCCATTGCCAGCAGGTTTATTCCCCGCACTCTTTAACATAGATTATTTGATTGTGCATGGTACATCGTCGAGTCATTATTCACTTCCAGTCAGGGGGTCTACTTCCGTATTCCATCCCATATCTGTCCGAAATAATTACTGTCAAATAAGTAATACTCGACTAAATAAAGACACAATGTCAAGCATGAAGCTTCATTCGCATCATGCATCTTATAATTTGGCCGAGTATTGCTTATTTCATAGTAATTATTTCGGGCGGATGTCGAACGGGAGTAGACCCCTGAGATGATGCTGACTTCCTTCATCGTCATCCCTTTTTTACTGGTTCCTGGCCACTTTTAAAATTTTGAATCATTCTCGAATTATTTTCCCTTCATTATCTCGTTCATTATCTTACGTTGGTTTGTTCCATCATCTCTCCTATCACAATTATCGAAGCGAGAAGACG